ACTGAACTTTCAGACAGCACCGCAAGACCACTCTAAAGACCAAACGAACTTTCCTTCCCCAAGTCCTACACTACTAGCAGAGAAAAGAAAGCTTCACCAACTGCAATAAGCCATTGCTGCAGGTTTTACCGCAGGATCTGCGGCGCTCGCGCTGTTGCTGAGCCAGTCACCCTGGCTGTCGTCTTTCGAGCGATACGATCCGCCTGGGCGATTTCTAGTACAGGAAGAGCCTCTCAGCTCAATCTCTAGGGTTACTTCAGCATAAGTAAAGACAGAAAGGGAATGTTAAGAAACAAACCACACAATATTCTAAAGGATATGATTTCCAAATTTTGGACTGTGGCATTGTAACAGCAATTATACGCGTGCACAGATTATTTGGCTAATAATACGAATGCATAACGTGAATCTGTTAACGGAGGAGAAACACACTTCTCTCCAAAAGAAATGAACACCTGCTTAGAATCTTTTCCAAACAAGTTTCAAGTAAAACATGAGGAGTCACTGGCAACCTTATGCTCTTGGGACAAGCAATGCGATTTAGTTAACCAGTGCAACTAGTTAATTCCTTCAGTGTTCTCCCTTCTATCGATGTTATCTTGAGCTTATTTGGGATTTGGCTTTTTTATTCTTATTTTTTACCCAGGCACTTGTCTCCTATATGATACATATTATATGTAATGTACATATAGTATTGAGATTGTCTACTTCTCTCGCAAAAAATCAACACAGCAGATACCATTTAGGTACCAGCATTTTATTTCATGTCTCCTAAAAAAATCTCTCCTCGTGATTTCACATACAAGCCAAACAAAAAGCTACGAATTTTCACCTTGTCCAACAGTGTGTTCAAGACTGTCTTGAAAAAGGAAATTTAAATAGAACTGATGCATTTCTTTCCATTTACTCAGGTCTTCAGAGCGGGATACTGTGGCTGATGACTGACGGCTAAACACTTTTAATGCAACCCTCTCCCCTGATCAACCCAGATCTTGCCTGCCAGAGTTTACTCTGAACAGAGAACCGAGTACCAAGAGGTGGCTATATTCAGACAATGAGCCTACTGAAAAATGTCACGGGCAAGTTTTTGAGATGCCGGAACACTTAGCAGCTCCCCAAGAAAAAAAAAAAAAAACAACAACCAAAACCACAAAAGTGGATGCAACGAATAGCCCATAGAAGAATCTCGTCAGAGCAAAACCTAACTGATTTTGCACTCATTTAAAGTTAGTTTTTTGATTAAATACCACAAAAAGGAAGATATATTAAGTCTATTTCTTATATGGATGCAGTCTGGAAAATGATGTAGAGTTACCTGCTCATTTCTACCATTCAAACACGTCGCTGCTGGAGCTCTCCTAGCAGCATTGTTATACAGTGACAAAAATAAAGACTGTTCTCAGCAACACAGGTTGATAACTCACTGGATGGTACCTGCAGCCTTCTACTTCGCAGTCTCACATTTGATATTATCCCTGGTATTGAAGGATCAGTGAAATTCCTCCATCATGACTAGCACCGAGACCTGCTGCTTTAAATTTGACATTACACACTGCGCATAAGGCAGCATGGTAATTGCTGTGCCAATTTGATGACTCAAAACTGTGCCCGGAACAGCACAACCTCTGTATGGTTTCAAGGTCTTAAAATGCCTCTGAGCCAGCACTATGAATGCAATACTGCTTTAAAGCAAAAAGAGATTCAAGAGATACTAATATAAACAATCTTTTTGTAATGAGTTATTGTCTCAACAGAGCTCACAAGATATTATAATTTCAAGTGCTATTACTGCTCTTACAGTTTTCAAGAGGACTCTCTAGATTCTTGAGACGTCCTATCAAGGGCAAATCATCAGACAGATTCAAGTTTAATGAATATATGAGAAAAGAGACTGGCTTAGCATTGACCTACTTCTCAATTCTGCTGCTGATAGCTAAAAATCCTTCCTGGCTTTCCACTCAAAATGAGAGCCTTTCTTTTCATTTTAATCTCAGAGCCTTTGCCCTGACGTTTTACATCAGATTGGCAAGTAACAGCATAATTGCATTACCACCACCTTCATTGTTTTCCTCCCTTCCTTCATTCCCCCCACCACACCGCTAAGCTGACTCGTGTTCCCAGCAGGGTAACAGATTCCTCAGAATGACATACTGTCTTTTGGACTGCACAACATCCATATTTGATCCAGGCCCCAGCTGGGCTGTTGAGTGCTTCCACAGCACCAGCCACAACTGTGGCGCTTTTAAAACATTTTTTTTGCATTTCATTTTGCTTGGAAGTTCGCTAGAAATGTCAGTATTCTCTTACCTAACGTTTCCTTTTGTAGTTCACGGCACCTACTTTGTAGCTCACTCCCTTGCTGAAGTGAAGTTTGAAGCTGCTGAGTTTTCAGTTCGACCGTGTCAGCCACCAATGTCAGGTGTTTTACCTTTTCCTGGAGGCATTCATTCTCTCTCTGGGATTTTGCCAATCTTTGATTCAATTTGGGTATTTCTGAGGAGGAAAAAAAAAGAAAAAAAATCATATACACTGTTGTCAAGTTTACCTTCTTCACACCTGATTTACGACCTCAGGACTTAGGCATTCTGTAGTCTCAGTTTGGGCATGGGTCAGTGTAAGCCACGCACACTGGCATCACTGTGGCTGAGAACATGGAGGGCCAAAAGAAGTGCTTTGTGCAATTTCTCTTTACACGGATCACTTGCACTTCGCCAAACACGTGTTATTGACAAATAATACAAATTTTATTCTAAACGACATGTATTTCCTTCAAGATCCCAAAACCAAATAAAAATACAAGAATATATTCCAAATGAAATAGCAATTGGTGACAGAAATGTTTGAATCCGAGCCTTTTATCTTAAGGAGACACACAAAACATTGCTGACATACAAAACCAACTGCAGATTCATTTTGAAATTAATTTGAGAAGATATCAAGGGGGTTAGCCTCTGCTAAAGCTCAGTTTGAAACTTTCGGTTCACAAGATGTTTGGGCATGTGTATTACATCTTATTTTCTCCCTCCTTAGATGATAACTGCTGTTAAAGTAATCACAAAGTGCATCTTCATTATATACGACAGGCTTTGTCACTATCTTTCATCAGCTCTTCAACCTGGAAGAGCAGCAGTCCCAGGAAGTTTCCCAGGTAGTTTTTCCTGCAAGGTAAATAAGTAAATCACGGGTGGGGTGTAGCGAGTCTCCTACACCCTCATAATTTTTCCCGAGTTCAGTTATCCTTGATGAGCGCATTTGAACATCTCCAAAAGTAGCTGCAAGTCTCCTCTAGGCCTTCTCCAACTACAGCCCTAAATGTTCAGCTGTCCAAAGAATTTGTACCACTTTTATTTACACTAATAATTACAAAGTTCAAGTCAGATGAAGTCTAATTCTATTGCCAAGTAGCTATTATCTGTTTTATAGGCTGCCCACATGCAAATTTTAAATTCTTTTTGTGGTGCAAATATCTTCATTATCTACAATCTTTCCCAACTACTCCACATTTAAATCAATTTATTGTTAGACTAAATGATGTAAATAATGAAAAATTTTAAGTTCTTATACTTCCTTCTACTTGCCATTAATTGAACAAGGCTAAATAACATACATATACAAGAGCTTTTATAAGCTGTTTTCAAACTAAACAAGCAAGCTGGTCTAGGCATGAAGAGCAGCAGCACCTCATGTAGCATTTTCCTTCTCCAAAATCTAAATGGAAAACAAGTTCTGAAAATCTGGTTGCAGAAACAGTAAGGTAAAATAGACAAAGAAATTACTAAATTAATAATGAACAACTCATAAAACAAAACACAAAAGCTTTTGAATAGTGTTCACAGGCCAAAAAAAAAGGATAAAAAATTATGTGTGACTAATTGTTTTGATTTAGAAAGCCAGATTTAGGGATGTACGTAATATTCACAGTGGCACTATTCTCAGTAGGATACACTGAACACGGTCAGGGATATGTAGCACGTACCATGGCACGTATCATCATTAAAAGGATGTGAAAGGCTGCACTTCTACTTCCATACAGATATTGCATATATTTGCAGTATTACAACAAATGAAACAAGGGATATGCCGGAAAAGCAGCCTTGAAATGCTATGAATCTCTTTGAACCTGAAGATGTCTGCAGAAACGCAAGCTCATATTCCCTTTATTAGCTAGAAGTAGGCAGAGAATGAGCACAGGAAGAGAGGAATCCTTCGGGACATGCAATACTCAGCCTAATTAGGAGATGAAGTCATGAATCAAAACGCAGGATATGGACACTGACATTTAAATTAATTGTTCTTACAAAAACCGAAGACTAAAGAGTGACTTTTCTGGTCACGCTCCTCTCCAGCAGGCAGGAGCCCTCCCTTCTGGGCTCTCTGCTGCCCAGGCTCAGAACCCTCTGTTGGGAGCCCGGCGCTGTCTCTGTGGGATGCGTGCCTACCCGCTCCTGCAGCACAGCTGCCCCACTTAGTTCTTCCCAGTCTGAACAAAGCAATCATTGAAAACGTTAAAAATTACTTCTCATTTCACAGGAAGCATAGGCTACTGGGGAGCTGTTATTTAAAATGAAGCTATGTATTTTCTGAGATACTCCACGCACGCAGGTTTCATTTCAGCTGTGCGTTTGCCCTGGAGTTCATGTGGTTTCACCGGCAGAGTGATTTGGGAGATGCACGTCGCCCACCGTGCCCTTATATTCCTTCTCACAAGGACAGAAAGTGTGACATCAGCTCACCTACTTTGCTGCCTTGAAGCCCCGATAAAACTAACCTCCAGAGCAAACTGCAGCTCATCAACTCACACACACAGAGCACACTGAGAAACCATAAGGAAAGGAATAGATACGTCCGGATTATGTCCAAAGGCCATTAAAGCTGCAAAAGCCAGCACAGGGCCTGTTTGGATGCTCGGGGTGTTGCAGTCTGTAATTACACTACTGCGGACTTTTTTTTCCAGCCAAACTAATCTCCTCACCGAGGCAGAGCCAAAACGGTATTCAAGGCTAAATCGGAGCTCCCAAGTCTGACCGCCAGCCTGAGGGCTGGGCACGACCTTCACAAACAAGCCAGCGGTTGTGACTCGCTCCCAGCTTCCCCTCTCCCTGAAGGCTGCCCTTGTTTGAGCAGGAAGCAGGCTGTGGGCCAAGGGAATTACCCTCAGCCCCTGGGCCGCTCCGTGCCCCTTTCAATCCCAAAGGCCCCGCAGATAAAGGCAGCTGTATGTCGATACCACTCGGTCGTATTCGGCAACGGAAGGAGGGAGTAGGTGCCACACGCGGGGCGCGGGCTGGCTCGCCCGCGGTGGCTCCCGCACGCGAGGCACCCCGAGGCGGGCGCCAGCAGGCTGGTGGAGTGGGGAGGCGCAGCCTGCCCACGCCACGGGGGGCAGCCTTGCCGGACCCTCGAGCAGCGCCACCAAAGGGCATCACACCGCTGCCGCGGAGGACGGTGCGCGTACGCCAGCGCGGGCTAAAAGCTGGCCACAGGAGACACAAGGCAAATGCAAGTAGCCCCAAGTCTTTGTGTTGCAGTCCTAGCCATACGCTCACAGAAAGCATTTATCAGCATCTAATTATTTCTGTTTCGAGTCACGTAAGTATTTATATCACTTCCATGTCAGCCTGACTTGGCCAACCACGCCCTCGGTCCAGCACACTAATCCGATCGGAACTGGACCGAGTTCAACTCCGTTCACACGGTGCCTCAGCAGTACAGGGTCTTCTAACACTTTGGATCTCGTCAAGTTAACGTGAGAATTAGAAATTGTGCAGTTAAATTTACCTTCTAATTTACTGTGTTACATTCAACTACCAAAAAATATTTAACTTGCCCGAAATTATTGCAAGATGATGTACCTGTCAAAGCTTCTTTGCTAACGGTTTTTATTTGGAGAAAAATTTCTTCTTTCATGGCAGCCCAGTTCTCCAGGTTACTGGAGATGACTTCTTTAATACTGTCTAGTTCGCTTCTAAAAAAGAGTGAGACAGCCTTGTTCAGGGTTGAGCAATGGTGTTCCAACGTATTTCTGCAAGACAGAAAAACAGCCCCAGATGTACCTCTTTAAAATGAGAAACTACTGTTGGTAAACTCGGGAACTAAAGTAAACTCGACAACTACTTTTCTGTTATAGGCTAACTTATACTATATATCGGTCACAACAGTTTAGTGTATGAAATATGCTGTATATTGAACGTATTTATAAGAAGTTTCTCCCCTCTAAATGTTGATTTAGAACTTACATGCACAAATGAAGAAGACTGTACAGACAATTGTACACTCACTTCTCACTGAAAAATCAGAGAAATCGTGTTTAAATGACTGTATGTCCAAGCTTATGTTGACTCTTTACAAACAATATATGTAAGAATACTCTGTTTCCAACGCGTTACAAGCAAGTGGTACACTCTTGTTGCTAACAACATCAGCGAGTTCCGCACAAATTAAGTGTTAATTAATGCCTTTCAATTTGTGCGGAACTCGCTGATGTTGTTAGCAACAGGATAATCAGCAGTGACATTTTCTGGTTACATTTCCTAACTCTGCAGCATCTCGCTATGTTCTGGAAAAGAAACACTGGGATCATTATAAACACTCCTCTCGCTCACAGTATTCCCCCCGCCTCTCCACTGAATCCTCTCGACTGACTGTACGTGTTCACAGGAGGCACAGCATCGGCATTTCTTTTTGGGTTCTTACCTGAGCGCCTGCGATTGCTTATAGGCAGCTTCCTTTTCCTCTTGGAAATACCGCAAGTCTCCTTTCACATTTTTCAATTCATCTTGCCTGTTTTTAAGTTCCACTGTTAGGTTTTTTATTCTAGAGATGTAAATAAAATAATCAGAAGGTATTATCTGTTATTCTAGAGATGCTAACTTTTGTTTCGGCTTCAAATTAAAAACATGCTGCAAGTCTTTTCAAAGATGATGATCACGTATTTCAGACCGAGGTATCAGATCTCCAACTTGAGAGAATTTAATCTTCTCACCACTATATGAGCCACTTGAGCAACTTTTTCAAAATAATACCCCTAGTACATTTGTAAAATAATGTGGAGGAGTGTACGTCCAATATCAGCTCATATGCAACGCTATATAAATATCTTCAGAATCCAGTGTTCATTCATAGACGCAACACAGAACTCATTCATCCTCCAAAAAACATACGCCATTATGAAAATCTCCGTTTGAAGTCCAATGTGGGGACCCAGCTTAGGGGTTGCCATACCCAAAAGGCAGCACCCTGTCCCAGCAGGGTGACGCAAGGTACCACAACGGGCTGCAAAGGTTCCACCCCCAACTGCAAGGACATGCAGGGAAGGGTAATGGGGAGCTCATCTAAGCTGAAGGGGAAATTCTCTGAAGTCAACCAACAGAAAATACTAAATATTTGGTTACTGTTACCATAATTTTTTCCATTCTGAGTGTTTCCCTATTCCTTCATTTCAGACATTTGCAAAAGATGAATCCCAATCAGTCACTCTTGTTTGCCCTCAGTTTCACACTCATCATCACGGAACTCTACTTCTGCACTGCTGAATTACTTCATGGTGCTCAGCAAATAACAATTTAAAAAGTACACATGTAAAATATATTCCTGTCCATTATTTTTACACCAAGTGGAATTTAGGCCTCTGTTGCTTGACAATGGCATTTTAAAGAGCTAAAGAGAAACTTTTCACAAAAAAAAAAGTTTCCACCAGATGTTACTTCAATGTATTCAGGCAATGACATTAGCATCAAAACAACCAAAAATGTCAAGTAGTAAGATCATTTTCCTACGTTTTTCTTAAGGAAGACTTAAGGAGAAGGCAGGGATTTCTAGACTAGAGCTAGGTTTCCATGTTCCCAGTTTGACCCACAACACATTTGTTTTCTGTACTTGCCCCCTTCCTTTCACCAAAAAGAAACACCCAACAAATTTTGGGCCCAGAACACTGTTGACCATGACGTGGGGTGGGAAGGACGTGATTTGGTGGCTCTACTTGACAAATCCTGGCTGGGTGTCGGGCTCCTGCCAGAGCCCCAGCTCTCCTTGGGTTCCCCTCCCTCTCCTAACGCCCCTCGGGACGCCTGCAAGCCATCGCCTTACAGAGGAGGATGGAAGGAGACACTGTCCCAACACCCTCTGTAAGTATTGGCCTTGAATAGATTGAAAAGCTTTTTCATGCTTCCTCCTCTTGGTCTCCCAGCGTGCTTCATCCCAACAGCATGTAGCAGATTTTTAAATTATAGCACGGGTGACAACCTTCAGCATTTTACTTCAAATCTCACACCAAAAAAGATCCTAAATCTGGGACTGGGGGGAAAAAAAAAAAAGCTCACTGTTACCAGGACTCACAAATACATTGTGCACCCTCCCTCCCATTAAAAATGCAAATTAATGTTTGTCACAACTGCGCTTCCATTGTGCTTATTTAAATGAGATTATGACACGGCAAAAGTAGAATATCTGTGCTGGGGGAAAAGCGATCAGAAACCCATGACACGTGCTAAACACTCAACTCAAGATCTATAACCAGTATAAAGTGGGGGAAAACCATTCCTTCACCGCTGCGGACTACCAGCTCGCCTCACAGCCAGCAGACAGTGCTGCTTGACCGGCCCCTGCCTCGGCCGCGCAGCAGCGTCCCACGGCCGGGGAGAAGGGGCTTCGCTCTGTCCCCGCAGAGCTTCTGCAAAAAGAAACCACCCCACGGTAGGACACAGGAGAACTGACCAGTGTTTCTTTGACCACCACCACCACCTGCCCATGGGAGAGGAGGAGGAGGAGGAGGGGGGTGGCCCCTGGGAAGCAGGGGGAGCGCTCCCTCACGGCACAGCCGTGCACAGTTGCAGGCACTGGTCTCCCGCCTGCTCGGGATGTGACCCACCTTCGTGCTGGCCTCCAGGCCACAGCGACCACAGCTGCCCAGTTCAAAGGAGCAGAGAGCTGACCTGCAGGCTTTGCCTCTCAAATGTACCTTTTGAACTTTCTCATTCCAGCAGCGGTTCTGACCTGTTTACTTTCCAAGCACGGCTATCACAGTGTAAACAAATACATTTTAAACACTGTTCTTTCCACAACTCGGGACTTCTTCCCACAATTGTAATGAAATGAATGGAACCGTGTGGGACTAACAGACAGCTGAACCCAGCCCCCTTCCCGTGCGACACGCGCAGAAAGAACACCCCAGAGCACAGCACCACCAGTTGCAGTACAGCTCTTCCCTTTTCTGTCAGCTGCAGGGAACCGTTCTAATGTATTCTGCCGTCCCCAAAAGTACAGCCACAACGATATGAACTGTTAAACCCAGTCCCTTTGTGAGCCTTCACTTACTGTCAACCTACTGCAAGCAGAGTAAATGATCTGTTTCTCTACTGGTGACCCATCGTCACGAGTAAATTAATATTTGAATCAACAAATATTTTTCAAAACCAAAGGACAGCAGAAGCATTACATCAGCCTTTGCTGCAATTTTAAAAAGCAAAATGAGAGTGATTTATAGTTAAAAAAATTAATTAAGCCATAATATTAATGTGCATTAGTTACTGTTATCAGATAGATCATCTGTAACACATTTGTACCAAAATGCAAATTTAAAAATACTACTCCTTACTAATAATTATATTTATTAACAAATCAATAATTAATATTAAAGAAACTTGGATCTGTGGAGCTCTGAGAAAACCAAAACTGAACATTTGGTAGTTAAAAAGCAAGTTGTTTGGGCTCAACTGTGATCTCTAGGGGGGAAAAAAAAAAAAAAAGAAAAAAAAAGATAAAAATGGAAGAAATTTCTGGCATTACCTCACTAGGAAAGTTTACCCATAGTCGCCTGTAAATTTCTTGGAGGTGGAAGGCAGGAGGAGAGAGAATAAAATCTGTTTGATCGCATTTGGGAGCAGAATCAGACTGGTGTCACTGACTAACAGGAACTGGCCATCCCCTTAACAGTTACATAAATTCAAATCTATTTTTGCAGATGATATATTCTGGTCAATGTGCCTTGAGGGGAAAAAAAAAAGTATCAATTTATCATTGAGCAATAACAAATCAAAACTTTGGGAACCATGGAAAACTGAATGCTCATTTTCTATTCTTACTCGTTCCAGAATCTGAAGATCTTTTGGTTGAAAAAAGAAACTTGAAAATAAGTACAGAGACATTTTCTTCCTCTTTCCATTCCAGAGATCTGATACAATGAGGTTAGCCCAGAACTGCAGCCTCAGAGAGCAAAGGGACATTATTGGTATGTTCTGGTCATTCACACACAAAAGAACCGGTGGAGAAGGCAAGACAGTTGCACTCTGTCTGCTATCATCACCCTAAGGAGGAAGAAAAATAAACATGTTATTTTGGTGATATTTAGCACAAAGGAAAAAGTTCAATGGATCATTAAATGCTGGCATTACGAGAGGATCGTGAGAACATACTGATCTCGTCCTCTGTCCTACAGTTCACACAAACTGTGAAAATTAACATCCTATCTCCGCAGCCAGCATACTTTCTTGGTGAACGCAGGAGGAAGCCAGCCCAGAGCACGAGTTGAATTACAACATGTTAACTACTAGTGCTGACAACGAAAAGAATAGCATGAGAAAAAGAAGCAGTTGCAAAGGATTCTTGCCAGCAAACAAACATACTCATTGTCCTAAAAGTAACGACAAGAGCAATTACTGTGTTTGTTCAAATTCAAGACCTTGCGCTTCTAAGAAGATCAGAAGAAATAACCTTCGCAGACTCCACGGTACACAGTCCCTCCAGGAGTCCCAGTAGGACCCATTTAAGCCAGAATGAACACCCGGTTGCCTGGAGTCGGCAGGGACAGTGTGCAGAGAGGAGGCTGGAACTTACTGTCCACGAACAAAGTTTCACTACAGTGTTTCCAGCTCCATGAAACTCTAGGACCTGCTCAGAGACAGTAGTTGCCCACTTTCATTTCAGCATGTTGTGTTCCACCCGGGCAGGTCAGTGTGCACCCCTACGAAGAGGCTGAGTATTCATTCACAAATTTAGCATAGAATATGTATAAAATTGCACAGTCTGAACCTCACAGCACGTATCATCCACAAACTTCATAACTGCCCGTATTTTGTTCAGCGCAGACTATTCAAGCTAAGGCGAGACTATTTCACAGTTCGCATGTGCCACTACAGAATCATTCACCTCTGGATTGCAGGTTAGCATATGGCCCAATTTGACAGCAAATGAAAATTACCTCTGACAACCAGTCGAGAGGCTCTTCGACAAGGTCTCTATCAACTCTCACGTAGGCTGACAGCAAATTCAAACCTCACATTAATTGTTACCTATCTATATTATCTCAGCAGAAATATAAGATGTATTATGAAGACAGCCTGGATAATTTTTGCTCCAGCAAAGGCAAATCTCTGGAACAGGTCTGAAGACCAATGATAGAAAGATGACTGCCTTGTCACAGGCACTTCAAAATTTATCTTTGAAGATACCCCAGATTTAAGTCCCAGAGCTATCACTCCAGCTCCCAACTCCATCTACAGTAATTACAGTTTACATCAGCTCAGTCATAGCAGTCATACTCAGTACTGTCAGAGCAGTGTCACTCAGGAATAACTTCTTAGAAGTCAGTGGAGTTACACTGATTCAGTTAAAAAAAAAAATGAGATTACAGGTACGAGTAATTTGGTAATTGCATAAAAAAGAAACGGGGCCAAGGGAAATTTATAGGTGACTGCTTACTTATACTACAAATTTGCACCAGAAAATTCAAACAGAAGTTTCCCAAGGTGCAGCAAGTGACCTTCATCCATCCCACACTCGCCTCTTCCCTTCACTAGAGAATCCTTCAGAACACAGCC